ATCCGATTGTTTTTCTTTTTATACATATCTTTGTGGGTTTCTTCTTTTTCTCATGATAGGGCAGACCTATGGACAGTATGAGGCACCATGCATGCCTGATTTCATGTTAAAAAGAAATCCAAAGAGTCTGCAGAAATTACAGGCCCACTGTTGTTTCGCGGAACTGCTTCCTCTGATGAATAAAATGGCATTATGGTCATGCTTCTCAAAACTCAATTCTTTATCTGTATCAAGATCATTTATGATACTCTTTTTAAAAAAGAAAGTTTCCTTTCTGCACTTTCTGCTCATTTTTGCTGTGAACCAGAAACCACTCTAAAAATAAAAATATATTCAAAAAATGAATCTAGATATAGACCTTACACCCTTCAAAAATGTTAACTCAGAATGGATCATAGATCTAAATGTAAAATGCAAAACTATAAATCTCCTAAAGGCTAACAGAGAAAATCTAGATAACCTTGAGTAAGATAATGTCTTTTTAGAAAATAACAGCAAAGGCAAAATCCACGAAAGAAATAATTGGTAAGCTGGCCTTTGTTAAAATTAATAACTTTTCTGCAACAGTCACTATCAAGAGAATGGGAAGACAAGCCACAGACTGGGAGAAAATGTTTGCAAAGCACGCATCTGATAAATGTGTTATCCAACGTATAAACAGAACTCTTAAAATTCAACAACAAGAAACTAAAGAACTCAATTTAAAAAATAAGGGCAGGCAGCCCAAATAGACATCTCACCAAAGAAGACATACACAGAGCCCCAAAAGCATATGGGAGATGCTCAGCATCATGTCATTAGGGAATCTGAAATGAAAATGAGGTAACTACTACACACCTATTAGAATGGCCAAAATCCAAAACACCGAGCACACTACATGCTGAGAAGGATAGGGAGCAACAGAAACACTCGCCCGCTGCTACTGAAATGCAAAAAGGCGCAGCTACTCTGGAGGACACTTTGGCAGTTTCCTAAAAACTAAACTTATACTTACCATATAAGCCAGCAAACACAGTCCTTAGTATTTACTCAAATGAATCGAAAACTATGTCTACACAAAAACCCCCACATGGGTAGTAGCTTTATTCATCTAGAGAACAGAATAGTATTCAGGGATGAAAATAAATGAGCTACTACACCATGAAAAGACATGGAGGAAAGTTAAATGCATACTGCTAAGTGAAAGAAGCCAATCTGAAAAAGAGACATACTGTATGATCCCAACTATATGACATTCTGGAAAGAGCAAAACTATAAGGACAATTAAAAGATCACTGGCTGTCAGGGGTTAGAGAACAGGCAGAGCTGAACAGGCAGAGCTGAACAGGCAGAGCACGGTGGATTTTTAGGGCAGTGAAACTACTCGATGTGATACTATGGATACATGCCATTACACATTTGTCCAACCCCTAGCATGTACAAAACCAAGAAGAAAGCCTAATGTATATACTGCGGGCTTTGAGAGATGATGATGTGGCAATATAGGGTGTCATTGTAACAAATGTGCTACTCCAGCAGGGGACACTGGTAACGGGGAAGGCTGTACTTGTGTGGGCAGGGGTATATGGACACTCTCTCTGCACTTTCTGCTCAATTTTGCTTTGAACCTAAACTACTTTCTAAAAAAATGTAAACTTAAAAAAATAATAAAGTTTCCTGGGCCCCACACCAGACCTACTGAATCAGACAGAATCTTGGAGAGGAGTTATAATGCAAGGGATATGAATTTTAGCAAATTTGCTTGAAGACAAGACTACCAACAATGTAGGGAGCGATGAGAAAGAGGAAGTGAAGAGAAAACAGGAAAGAATGAAGACAGAAGTGAACACTGGCCAGTATTCCTGTTGGGTCCCCACCTCAGAGAGTCAGCAGAGCGGGAGTGGGGCCCAGAGACACACGTTTAAAACGTCCTTAGGTGATTCTGAGAGAGGGAGGGGCACCCCTGCATCCATGGAGGGAACTTCATGGGAGAGGTTTTTAAAACTAGGAGCTTGAAGCTGAACGGCAGGTTAAAATGGCACATAATATTTCTGATGTAGAAATGAGTCTGTACTAATGTCGAAAAAAAAAAAAGAGGATATAGTCAGAGACAATGGAGGGAGGAGGTGAGGAACAAATTCTTCCCCCCAGGTGTAGTAATTCTTTCTGCAGGAAGACAACCATGCAACGTGTCTCATGAAGTCACATAGGTTTACATTCTTCACTGTGATTTCACAGAAACAAGGCAGATGACAGGGTATCTTCAGGGATTAAGCCTTAAAAGGTAGACTACGTACGTAGTAGAGCTCTACCATGCCCATTAGCAGAGAGTTGTGGTTTTTAAATGCCACAATATAAAGCATTTATTATGAACCAGCAAAAACAACTGACAGGTTTGGGGATAAAAATCAATTCACACAATAGGTTAAAAAAATTGATTTTCTAAGATGACATTCAAGTTCTATCAAGTCAGTGAGTGTGCCCATGAACTGAGCACCTTAACTGGTCATTTATTACTCAGAACAGGACACTCTGGAGTGAAAGAGGCTTTTAATAAATGCACCAGGAAAACCAGGATAGACCAGGACCACCCCAGACAAACCAGAATGGGCACCCCCGATGGTCTATTTCTCTGGATAGTAACAAACCTAACAATAATCACAGATGGCAGTCACCCTTACTTTAAGGGGGTATGTACCAAGACCCCCACTAGATGCTTGAAACTGCAGGGAGCACGGAACCCTATATATATATATAGATATATGTTTTCCTATACATACCTTTTCACTGAAAGGAAGCACTTTATAGCTTTTTTGGGGGGGATATATCCAATTTTCAGCATCATTACTCTTGCGTTCCGGGCCCTTACTACGCAAAGTAAGGGTTCCTTGAGCACAAGCACAGCAGTACTTCGCAGCACACTGAGACGGCGGCGAAGGGACTGATGGGCAAGCAGCATGGACAGCACGAACACACTGGGCAAAGCGGCGATTCACAGCCCAAGCAGGACGGAGCAAGAAAGCAAGAATCTCATCATGCTACTCAGAAAGACACACTACTTAAACCTTATTGTTTATTTCTGGAATATTCCATTTAATATTTCTAGACCACAGTTAACTGCCAGTAACCGCAGCTGTAGAAAGAAAAACCATGGATAAGGAGGAACAACTATATACTCACTACAGTGTTCCAAAGAGGAACTGACCATAATTATAAAGTGAGAAGCCACAGATGGTATTAATTCAAGTTCATTTCTCTCTCCACCTATACCCTTGGTGTGGAACATTAAATAGCACTTTTACAATTACACAGCACAGCAGTAGTTAATATTGATCTTGAAACTTGGCAAAGGTCAACATTCATTTGCAGCCCACACTGGAGTCTATCGAACCTTCCCTCTGGAGTTCACGCAGTGGGCATTGTTTCACCAGCCACATGACCACGAACAACCGCAACCAAAGGCTCAAACTCGGACAAGTTGTCAGAATAAACTTTTATTTTTTAATTGTTTTAAGATATGGTACACTTCTGCATGGACTTTTAATCCTTAGTGAAATGGTATCTTGATTATGAAAAGATGAGTCTTTTCATTGAGTTTCTAATCTTAAAGGGTTTGGTTTTTCTTTTCTCTTTCAACGAGTATTTGTTGGGGGGTCTCTGGTATGCCACACTTTATTGTAAGTGGTAGATAAAGCAGAGGACAGATCAAATGACTGTCAACCCAATGACAGATGCTAGCATTTGTAACCACGGAGACTAGTGGTTCGCAAACCTGACTGTACATCAGAACTGCTTGGGGAGGCTTTAAAAAACAACCCTGTGCCTCACCATGTAAAATCCTGCACACACTGATGTTCACAGCCAAAAATATAAACCACCCAAATGTGCATACACTGATGAATGGATAAAAAAATGTGGCATATACATAAAATGAAATCATTTTCAGTAATAAAAAAGATGAAGTGCTGTTACATGCTGCAACATGACAAATTTCAGAAAGAACATGCTAAATGAAAGAAGCCAGATACACAGACCACGTACTGTGCAACTGCACTCCCAGGAAATGTCCAGTATAGATGAATCTATACAGACAGAAAGCAGATTAGTGGCTGTCCAGATCTGGAGATTTGGGGGAGGAATGGAGAGCGACTGTTCATGTTCTAAAATTGACTATAGTCATCAAGAACGCAAATCAAAACCACAGCAAGATACCACCTCACACCTGTTAGGATGGCTATTATCGAAAAAACAAGTGATAACAACATGGCAAAGGTGTGGAGAAAAAGGTTGGTGGGAATGTAAACTGGTACATCCTCTATGAAAACAGTGTGGAGGGTTCTCAGAAAATTAAAAACAGAACTACCATATGATCCAGCAAGCCCACTCTGCGTTTATCTCCAAAGGAATAAGACTGGTATCCTCAAAATGCTGTACTTAACTTCAGAACTGTAGCCCTAAATCTGGTGTCTTTCCTGCAGCCTCCGTGGCAGCGCCTGTGCCGTCGCCATGACCGGAACTCTGCCAAACCTTCCCTTCCACAACTCGGGAGCCGGCTGGAAATGAGCCTCACTCAGCATCACAGTCACCGAGCTGGTCTTCTCCTGACCTTGGAACAGGCCTGACCTCCTGAAAACTGGCTGGCTGGCTAATACCTGCTTCACACTGGAGACTCTAACTTACAAGGTTCTACACTGCCACTTGCCAGACACCATGGACTGCCACTGCCTGAAGACCATGCTCCCGGCACCCTGACCTGCGTCAATGTCAATGCCTGCCTGGGCAAGCCAGACGTGTCCCGGAATGTCTACTGGGACGTTAGCAGTGACTGCTGTTCCCTGTGGCTCGCACATGGAGTGACATTCCTGGTTTCACCTTTTCCTGCTGGCCTGCCAGGAAGGTTACCTTTGAAATCTTGTGAGAAAGAATATAAAACATTTACAGTCATATTGAGTATTGAAACATTGTTTAACAAGTATTGATTGTCCTTTTTTAAAATTTAAAAAGCCAATTCCAACTAATTCTATTCTCAAACATCTTTGAGAATTTCACTGTAAGTTCCTATTGCTGGAGGGATGGGAGAATCACTAACTACATCACACTTGAACTCCAAAAAGAGAGAGAATCAGAGGCTCAACCGTGAGTGACTTGAAAGTGTAACAACCAACTACTCTCCATCCACTCGGGGAACATGTAGTGACTCCCATGTTGAGGGGTCACTGTTAGAGCCGCTACAGGAAATAATCTAAAGAAGAAATGGGAGATATACCCACCAAACATGTAGGAGACATTTAACTGAGCAGTGATAATAAATCTACTGGGAAAAACTGGGAAACAGGATAGAGAACTGTCGTGCCAGATCATATACTTGGAAACAAAAAGTACATGGAGAGGAGAAGCCAGACTGGTAAATGCTGTAAAAATCTCAGGGACATGGCTGAGCAGGCACCACGCTAACCACGCAGGGTGGGAGTGCTGTCATCAATCTACAAAGCAGCAAGTTCAATACCAGAGACCACACATTTACACACTGGTTGGTAGGATGGGCCGCATATTTTGAATGAGCAGAAATCTTGGTTCCATAATTAAACCTTAAAAGTAACAACTGCCAGAATGCTGGAAACCCCAAAAATCAACAACAACAAAAAATATACAATCTCTAACAAGTATTCATTAAATGTTTATTACTTGAATGACAAATAATTTCATCCAATAATCTTTAAATTGCTTAAAACTAACCATACTCAACTTTTCAAATTTCATTTGATCTTATTCCTTCTGTGTTCTAGTTTCTAAAAGCTTGATAACTCTAGTCCTTATAAAAAATTCTTATGCTCAGAGTGAAGAGAGTGGTGGCATTATAAAATTATTTTAGTTCAAGTGAAAAGGGAAATTCTCGTCAGACATTCCACCCAGTGGCAAATTATCTAAACTGAAACAAATATAAATTAGGATTTTATATCACTCTCTAAAAACTCAAAAACTGTTTCTCCCACTTTAGGCTTTCTTCAGGTTTTGGTTTCATGTGGAGCTTACCATCCCTGAAGTTTTCTAATTACACAGCACAAGTCTTCAGAGTCCCAAGCGTTCATAGTTTAAGTCAGGATGAAACAGACCCTCCACACAGAAGCCCAGTTTCTAACAGGAAAACCGGGGCCATGTTTTATGCTCACACAAAGATGGCTGTTACTAGAAAACTGCTTTGTACAGTTGGTGTTTTTCGTTCTCTCGTTTTTGTTCAAAATGTATTCTTCATTTTCATCAGGAAGAGAAGTCTGTCATTTCTTCCATTTCAAACTCACCTGTCCCTTTCTGCAGGTCTTTTGCATCATTTATCGTCCATAATTTTGTAAAACACTTTAGCCTTTTCCTGGAGAGAAAATGAAATACTACTTAATTTATGTACAAAATTGTTGGGGAATACATCTCACTGAAAGCTGTGAAAAGTCTGTGACATCAGGACCCCCTGCGGGGCCACATGGGGAGCACGAGTGCCAGCGCCGGCCACTGCGGAAGGGTCTCCAGGACAGCCGCTGTAATAAGGGACCCAGGTCATAGACCAGCACCGTTGCCTCCGGGAGGGGCGAGCCCAGCTTCCTCCCTTTTCTGACCCAGCCAGGGGCTGTGTATGTTCACAGGATAAAAAGTAAAATTGATTTAATAAAATAAAGCTAGCTAATGAAAGTGTGAAAAGCCAACATAACACAGACCCGCTTTTTTCTGCAAAAAGCGACCCAGTTATGTGTGCACGGTCTGAAGCCAGAGTATGGAGTCCCCGTCACCAGGGCCTGTGTGGCCTGCTTTCCTGGCCGGCTTCCTGCCCTGGCTCGGCCTCCTCTCCAGCTCTACCACGGGGACTGTGACAGCACTCACTTCACAAGGCTGTTATGGATTGAGTTCACATACACAGAGCAATAGGAACAATAACTGGGTTAGTATGTACTGCCCAGACTAGTTTCTGTGCACAGTATGCATTCGGTAAGTATTAGCTGCTATAACAAACCCACACCAATGCACAACACTTGGTGTGGATCCTTTGATCTACCAATGGTATCGATGAGGTAAGAACTTTTGAATATAGGGTCCTGACAGACTGTCCGATTCCACCCCTATGCAACCTCTTCTTACAATTCTCTGTCTTTTGAAGACAACTTTCTATATTTCAGAATGTCACATACTAGTTGGAGGGTTGAAATATTTATAAATTATCTGTGAATTTTATTGCTCTTGTTTTTTAGGCTATATGGTAGCAACACCTTGCAATATACCTTTTGTAATGAAATTTATTCTGGTTTCTTTAGGGAAAAAGAAAAAGCACAGCAAGCCAACAAAAGAGGAGTTAAAATTGTCTTTGGACTTGGCAAAGAACTAGGGCTAAGTTTATCTTTAAACTCTCACAGATGATTACTTTTCTCTCTGGATGAATTTTATATTAATCTACTTTGTAACAAATGATTAGAAATAGGATGTCACTAAGTACATCATTTGCTTTAATTTGGCACTGCAGAAATAACCCAGAAGACACTGTCAACGGAGAAAGCTACAGAGAAGTGACCTGTAGCTTTCATTTGCACCCAAGCACTTTGGAGCTGGTCGACCACCATTTCCCATGGCACAGGCGAGTGCAAGGCTGGACCACGAGGGGAAGGAAGAAGAAAAGAGAAGCTGGTTGCACACTGTACTTCAGAATACAGGCTGGCAATTGTTTCTTTAATGCCCAGTATCAATATTTAAATTTGGTCATGATTTCCATAACAAAAATGTATGACTGTATTATGGTGGCCAGGCCAGATTTTCTATTTGGCCCACCACCTGTCTACTCATGGTCATTGTTACTGGCCAAACAGTAATGTCCTGCCCCCACCCCTGGGAAAATCACAATCTCCCTCCCACTAGAGCAGGAGTCAGGCAGAAGGAAGATGAGAAGCTTGTACTGTTTGATAACACAGTCGTATATTTAGGCAACAGAAGGCTATAATTTATTATTCATTGATGCAATATTTTCCTAGGAATATCTTCTCTCCAAAGTACAGCTCGGCTTTATATTAAGATTAGTTTATACACTGACTACACATAGGCTGGATATCAAGGGTAAAGGGTGGAATGTATTCATGTAAGTTTTCTAGGGGACAGACAGAGTCAAGTTTACAATGAAATATTTATCAAAAACAAATCCACTGGCACTGGACTTCCCGTCAAGGTGGAGGCATACGTAAACACACCTTGCCTCCTCATAAAACTACAGCAAAAATTACAAATAGACTAAAGAACAAGTAACACCCAGAATCATCAGAAAATTGAGCTGTCTGGAAGTCTGACAACCAAGGAATTAAAGAAGCCACATTCATCCAATCGGGTAGGAGGGGCAGAGATGTGGAGAGGAGCAGAGAGGCACAGAAATGTAAAACAGGCAGTCCCACATCCACATGTGGTGGATAAATATTCGGAGGGGTACCTCAGCAGCAAGAGATTCCAGCCCCAGACCAGACCACCCAGCCCAGGGTTCCAGTACCAGAAAGATAAGTCCCCATAACCTCCAGCTGTAAAAACAAGTGGGAGCTGGGGCAGCAGAAGAAACTGCAGGACTCTCAGGAGTCACCTCTTAAAGGGCCCACCCACGACAGACTTAGGACCCACGCAGACCCACCCCATCTGGGATTCAGCACCAGGGAAACCACTGGAAGGGTAGCAGTGGCATAAGGGGAGAAAGCAAAGTGACTGGGAACAGGGTGAGTGCCAGAAGACAGCTTCCTCCCAGGCAAAAATAGGCTAGGCAGCAGCATTGTCCCCTCTCTGAGCCCTCGCCCACACAGAGCCACAGAGTGGTGACATGGGTGGCCCTGCACTGGCAACCCATTTGGCCTTACCTAAGGCCCCAACCCACACAGCTTCCAGGTACACTCTTCCACAATAGGCCCTTGACTAAGGCATGGAGCCAGCAGCTCAACCTAACACACAGAAACAGACACAGCGAGGCTGCCAAACTGAGTAGAACAAAGAAACATGGCCCAAATAAAAGAACAGAATAAAACTTCAGAAAAACCACTAAACAAGATAGAAATAAGCTATCTATCAGATGCAGAGTTCAAAACACTGGTTATAAGGATGCTCAAGGAACTCATTGGCTACTCCAACAGCATAAGAAAGACCCAGGCAAAAATGAAGGTTACATTAAGTGAAGCAAATAAAAATCTACAGGAAACCAACAGTGGAGGGGATATGAAGCTGTGAATCAAATCAACAATTTGGAACATAAAGAAAGAAAATTCAATCAACAGCAAAAATAAAAAAGAATTTCTAAAAAATGAGGACAGGCTAAAAAAATGAGGGCCTCTAGAGCATCTTCAAACATACCAAAATCTGAATTATCAGGGTGTTAGAAGGAGAAGAGAGAGAACAAGAAATCAAAAACATACTTGAAAAAAACAATGAAAGAAAACTTCACTAATTTGGTGAACAAAATAGACATACAGAGTCCCAAGAAGCACAGAGTCCCACACAAGATGGACCCAAAGAGGATCACATCAATATACTTCATAATTAAAGTGCCAAAGGTTAAAGATAAAGAGAGAATCTTAAACATGGCAAGAGAAAAGCAGAGAGTTATCTACAAAGGAGTTTCCATAAGACTGTCAGCTGATTTCTCAAATGAAACTTTGCAAGCTAGAAGGGACTGGCAAGAAGTATTCAAAGTAGTGAAAAGCAAGGACCTACAACCTACTTTACTCTATCCAGCAAAGCTGTAAGTTAGAATGGAAGAGCAGATAAAGTGCTTCCCAGACAAGGTAAAGCTAAAGGAGTCCATCACTACCAAGCCATTATTGTATGAAATGTTAAGGGGAGTTATATAAGAAAAAGATAAAAACTATGAACATTAACATGGCAATAAATTCACAACTATCAACAACCGAATCTGAAAAACAAACTAAGCAAACAAGCAGAACAGGAACAGAATCATAGATATGGAGATCATTTGGAGGGTTCCAAGCTAAGAGGGGAAAGAGGGAGAATGGGGAAGTGCAGGAATTAAGAAGCATAATTGGTAGGTACAAAATAGACAGGGGGTGTTAAGAACAGTATAGGAAATGGCGTAGCCAGAGAACTTACATGCATGACCCATGGACATGAACTAAGGAGAGGGTGGAATGCTGGAGAGAATGGGGATCCTGGGTGGAGGAGGGCAAGGGGGGAAAACTGGGACTGTAATAGCATAATCAATAAAAACACTGCTTTAAAAAATCCACAAAGTTACATGTAGACACTGACTACAACTAGCTCGTTAATTAATACTATTATTTTCATTCATGTCCTGACAGAATGCTCAATTTCTGAATGCAACCATTACATACCTCAATGCAATAAAGGAAAAAAAGGAGGTACCTCAAAGGTTTTATATATTTAGGTTCTTTTTAGTAACTTTTTGTACAAATGAATATTTTAAGCAATTAATGTGTTGGCACACATTAAGGAGTTAACTTAATTCTTTAGGAAATATGACACAAAAACCAATTTAGCAACTTAATAGATAGAGATCTGACTAGGGAAGCAGACTGAATTCACATAAGCTCTGGGAGAGCTGTTTCCATTTCCCTGTAATTAGACGCTGCAGAATATTTGCAGGGGTGCTCAAAGGACAATCGGCTTCCTCGAAGAACTTGGAAGGTTTCATTATAAATAAGAAAATGCAATACCACCATTCTGACCTTTTCGTATTTACTAATCCTTCCAGCTCTTTTGACTTGCTAGCTGCTTTCTTTAGAATTTCTCCAGGAATATCTGCTAGTTTAGCCACATTTAGTCCGTAACTCCTTGCTGCAATTCCTCTGGTTATTTGATAAAGAAAAGTGACAAACTCAGGGGCTTCTTCGCCTATAAGAAATTAAAAACAAAAAAGGAGGTGAAGAAAACCATGCCTGACAGTTGAAAGATCAGAGGATTAAGTAAGACATACAAGTTTTTATAATAAAATTTACAATCCAAAGAAAGAGAAATCCATTGCTCCTTATCACCTGTTAGCTCCTTTGACCCATTTTACATACCCAGAAAAAGGAAAATACTGTTTGAAAATGCTTTTGCATTGAGGACCTTATGGCTTACTTAGAATAGTTTTTAAAAATGATTCATTGCAAGCTAAGAGGCACTCAAGTTTTATGCTGTTCACTGAAAAATTGGAAGTGAACATCCAAGTGAAAGGAGAGGGATCTGATCCACGCTGCACTGTGATTTCCCTTTAAAAACAGACTTTTAAACAGAGTTACTCCAGTCAGAATGTGTTCACACGGTCTTGTATATATGCACTCTGTAAAGTAACATATATAAAAGCTGTTTCTTAAAGTGCTGGAAACAAAACAACAAAAACATATAAAAAATATTACATGTTGCAGTTTGAGTAAGATGGAGAAATTCTGGTTTATTAAATATCCTAGTAACCAAGAGCAATATATACAGAAGTGGATGCCATTCAGCGCCACTGAGATCCCACTTAGGACTGATGGGTTTGTGGCCCCACCTGCCAGAAGGGCTGTCAGCTTGCCCCCTGGGCTACGTGCCCTCTTTAGGAATGGCCTAAACTGAAGAGCGCTGCCTCGCCCGAAGGCGCGATCGACTGTCTGGAGCAGCCTGCACCCAGTGGCTGGCCGCCGTGCAGTGGGGAGACAGCCTCTGAGATGGCCACCAAGGATCCCTGCCTCCTGTGTTCATGTCCTGTCAGGTCCTCTCCTTGAGTGCAGGGTGGACCTACTGACTTGCTTTCTGTGATAGAATACAGCAAAAATGGTGGGATGTCACTCCTGAGCTTAGATGACAAGACAGTGGCCCCTGTCTTGGGCATTCTCGCTTGCTGCTTGCTCCGAGGGAAGCCAGTTGATGTGTGGACTGCTCTAAGGAGAGGCACATATGGACAGAAACTGGTGTCTCCTGGCAACAGCCCTGTGAGTGGGCTGGGGAGTAGACACTCTGAGGCCTGCCCACAGTGCCTGAGTGGGCTGGGAAGAGGATGTCACTAGTCAGGCCTCTGCCCCCAACAACATCCTGCTTGTAGCCCTGGGAGAGGAGGTGGGTGCTGGAAGTGACAGGCAGAGGTGTCAGCTCAGCCGTCCACGGATTCCTGACCCACAGAAATTAGGAGATAATAGTGTTTGCTATTTTAAGCTATTCTGTTTGGGGGTAACTTGTCATGTTACAAGAGGTAACTAATAAAGGGTATAAGGCCTGACTCCCTCACCCCAAGCTGAGGGAACTCTGAAAGACCAGCCCAGGCTCAGAGCTTTCCACGGGGCTGGCTCAGGCCTTATGGACGCGTCACTGCCCAGTCCCAGCCAGTCCCGCCCTGGGCGCTGACCGTGCTGCAGTGCTCGGTGCCCTGCGGCGCGCAAAGCTCAGTGTCAGGTTCGGCTTCCTGGGGAACCCCCGTCTACCTCACATGCGCACACACACGAGTTAAAGACTTTTAATGAATGAGGATATACCGAAACACAATAACACAAACACAATGCTGCATTCAGTTTGATTTTTGATCACTCTAAAGCACCTTGGCGTTACGCAGTTTTTTAAATAAAATTCAATTTAATTGCAGTGTGCTGCAAAAACGTCCAAGATGAACAAGATTTACAATGATTTCTGATACCCTAGTGTACTTACTGTAAGTTTATCAAGACATTCTTCTCACTTTTTCATTTGATAAATGTGTATGCATTGTTCTTTTACCAGCGATCAACTAAAACATCAAGAGTGAACACAACAGAAAAACAGAATAATGGAATTTTCCTTAACCTCCTCTAAGAATTCGGCAACAGGCACATAATGCCTTTTGAAGGGGGCTGGTGAAGGAGGCGGGAGCGGAAAGAATGGGAAAGAACTCGGGGATACACAGACTAGGACTTACATTACAAAGCGCTAAGAATACCCTGTGCCTCCAAATAAAACTTAAGGAACACAAAGAACGGGTGAAGAAGTGGGTGGGAACCGACAAGGAAAAGATGGAGAAACTGGTGCCTGCTAACCTGCGTAACGTTTTGTTACGTGCAATGCTCACAAAACAAAAAGTGAACAGCAGCAGGCGATGAAAAGGGCAAACTCTTCTCATCTTTAAAACAAATACTTCATCACTTCAGTGGGGTTAGTCCTAACTGATCTCCTTCATGCTGGCCTTCCTAAAAAAAAGATTCATTCATCTGTCAGTCTGTCTGTTTATAATCCATCCATCCATCCATTCATCCATCTCTTGAAATCCTAGTAACTGCCACAAACCCCTTTTACTTAAGCATTTTTCTTTTTTCTTTTACTTAATATATAGTACATAGTATATATAGCTATAAAATGTTTTTTACATTTAATATAACTATCAAATAGAGCTAAACTACATAAAATAATATTCTAAATAATTTATTAATACACCTTAGTATTAATTATGGTAGTTTTCAGACCATCCAAGTACATAAAGTGACCGCTCTTCCATAATCACTCAGGGGACCCTTTGTATAATTATCCTCTACCTGGACTGACTCTTGCCCCGTCCCTCACTCTCTTTGATGGGGGGACGGTGTGGTGGGCAGGGAGGAGGGAGAGAACATGTGCAGTGGAAATGTGCAGGCAGAGAGAACAAGGTGGGACAGCAGGTAAAACGACTCATTTCCTTACAGCCTCACAATGAAAATTCTTGGTAAGAACTTTACATATAAGCCATGACCATTTCTTAAATGGGTATTATTGAAAAGTTTATCTGCTACTGCTTAGAGTAAGTAAAAGTAGTAATGCACGTTTCTGCTTGTTAGAGGGAAACAGCAAAATCTGTTTTAAAGCCAAACTTCCACAGGCAGTTACTAAAGAGATGTGTCCTGATCAAACAGACTCCGAAATCACTTTTAAGGACCAGTTCCTTAAATTTTGAGGTTAGGTGACTTGTCCAACATTTTATAGACTGGAATAGCCAGAAACACAGGTTTCTTGCAGGTCCACTGCTTTACCTACCATATCATGGGAAATAGGTAAACCCAGTATGTTGGGGGCCAGCCAAAGGGGTATTTGGAGCATGTTACTGGTGAGCTAGGCTATGGGCTCTAACTGAGACAGAAGAGGAGTTAGGTTAGAGGTAAGAGATGAAACGCAGACGTAGCCAGCCAGGAATGACACAGGAAATGAGTAGACAATGGAGCAGCGCTTCAAACTATTTGAGTGAGAATGATTTTCAACCTAAAGTTCTAACCGTCGCTAAATTATAAATCAAGTATGAAGGCATAATGGAGACATGCCATTCAGGCAAAAATCTCAAAAATGTTCTCTCCTTTAGTTGATACTACTAGTAACTATTCCACCCATAAAGAAAACCTGGGTTTACAAAGGAGTTAATTCCCTGACCATTTAATCTAGGAAACAGTGTTCTCATATCCAGCTCCAAGAGTTGATCCTGAGCACAGTGTAGGCAGATCGATGCCACCCCTGCCATTCTCACTTCCAAGAACTGGTTTAAGAACAAGTGTGTGATTCAGTTCTCAAAATGAGATGGGACAATGATGAAACGCTAGTGAGCCTCTGAGAAAAGTGTCCTTGGTCCTAAGACAGTCACAGGAAACACCGACCCCTTCCCTTCCTTTGGACATTGTCAGATCTGGATGTAATGCAGAACGGGCTCCAGCCTCCTTGCCACTAGCGTGATGACGAAGCCAGCAGGGCAGGAAGTCAGAGCCTGGAGGACTGCAAAGAGAGAGCTGTAACGGGAGATTAGATACATCCTTACTGTTAGAGCCAGAGTGACTTCAAGTGTGTGTTACTGGCAATCAAATGCACAGTGGAGAGGGTAAGAGAATCCTAGGATGGTGGTAATGGCGGGTCTCAGGACAACAGCTGGGCGGCCTGGGGAGTAATCAGGTCAGGTGAGGAGCATAAAGGGCCTCCAGGAGAAATGACCCCCCAGTGGGGAAAAGCGGAACCAGTAGATTCAATCATGTGGAAGTGTCCAGAGGTGTTTTATAGAGCCACTGGAGGATAGAGGGAGATTCAGCCACAGATGACAATGAAACAATGAAATGAAAAAATAAAAACAAGGCAATTACTATTTCAAGAAAACAGAAAGAGTTGTACAATAAAAAAAATGTACTGGTTCATGACTGAGCAATACTTACTGGCAATGATAGGGAACACAATGAATGTGAATAAAATAAAAGTGAAACAATTATGCCGAAGGACAGGAAGGGAAAGCTGAAGACCTCCATCTCACACAATGAGACGTCAATCAGTGTTAAGCCAACGTGATGAACCAGGAGAGAAGAAACTAGAAGAAATGGAGGAGGGAGGTGAAAGCAGTTGCTTTCAGACTGGGAGGGGGAGAGGCAGGGAGTGAAGGGGTGGAAGCAGGGGACTGCTCGCTGGTGGCTTGAACCTTTAAGCATTATTTAATTTTTTAAATTATGTTCATGAATACAATTTCAAATCAGTAAAAAATAAAAAAATGCCACAACACAAGATGTAAGGCTCTGGGTTAGTAGTCAGTTTGCATCAAATGCTTACCACTGGCCCTTCCCTATCGTTGAACTCCGTTTTCTTTGTCCCACTGGGTTTCAGCTTATCAGCTCCTCCTGTCACTTTGGATGCAGATTAATAGATATGCAACTGCTTCCATGAGATAATTTATGATGTGTCTTTCAAGACTGCATGGTAGTGAAAGGCAAGAATTGCCTAACATTTCTTTATCTTAGGTCCAAGGCTTTGTTTTATTTGGGTTAGTTGCCTGATTTCTTTTTCAGGCCCATCCTTACAGCTCTTCCAAAACACAATTTTGACTCTGGAGTGTCTTAGATAATGGATTTTCCACAACAGCACATCAACTGTGTAAACTATCACTGGCCAAAAGGCTGGTGGCTTTAAAAAATTACTACCACAGGAGAAAAATTATGCTAAGATCTACTACATTACATACAGCACTTCATTTGTTTCTATTGGCTAATAGTGCTCTTTCTCACAAAATATCTCATTTCTGTGACACTAACAGTAAGAGGAAAGGCTGGGAAAATGCTGCCGATCACACACAGCAGTTCTAGCAAAGCAGAAGAGAGCCTGCCAGCAGCGGACATGGATTCCAGGCTCGGTTTGGCCCCGGTCCAGGGGGCCGACACGGGCAAGCTATATACCTCAGCTGGCTGACATTCACATTAACATGAAACATGTCCAGTATAGAACATGGTGCTTAGTAAGCAATTAACATTGAATAATGTTTTGGGGAAAATAACGGGCATTTTAGAAGATGATTAATTATACTCTGCACTTGACTGTTAGGGCATCTTTCCTCAGATCAATCTAAGAGGAAAACCTAAATGTCCTTCCCAACCCCACCCTCTTCTTGTAAAAAGTGAAATAAGGAATACCAGGGAAAGACTCACAGATGGCAAGGATAAATGTGAATTCTATTTGATCCAAAGCTGAGGGAAAACTAATTTGGACAAATGGCATTTACAATCAATATTCACAGCTTTTATTATTAACAAGCAATAAGTTCATGTTCCTATGAACTTTAAGTTATCTAATACCAACAACACTCTAGTTGTACCTATTACAGCAATGCTCCATACCTGGGTCTTGTCTGCTTTCGTCCTCACTGACCAAGAATCCCATGTGGTAATTCCCCACCTGCTGGGGGTAATTTTTCTCTAATTCACACACTGGCGGGTAATGGGTGACAAAGAGGGTTAACGATTTCACCTAAAGTAGTAAGACATAGAATAAGTGTTATTTTAAAATTTTATCTAATTAAAACTTTTCCCCAATTTTCTATTTTGAAGAATTTTAAATCTTCATTAAAGTTGCAAGGAAAGCAAAATGAACACACACATGCTCTTTATCTAGACAACCATTAATGTTTTGCCATGTTTCCCTTTCCTTCCTCCCTCCCCAATCTCCTCTCCCTCTCTCAATCCCCTGAACCATCTGAACACTGTGACACTGCATCCCTACCTTCTAAGAACAGAAAAATTCTCCTATATATTCAGAATAAAATTATTACACTCAAGAAATTTAACATCAATATATTGCTATTATAGCCAACATACAGCCTATGAGTTTCCCTAAACTGTTCCATCAGTGTTCTTTATAAATGTTCCTTTTTTTAGTCAGGGATCATGCAGTGCACTTGGTCATGTCTCTTTGATCTCCTTTCATATAGAAGAGTTCCCCAGCCTCTTTTTTTTTTTGATCTTATGACACGAACATTTTTAAAGTATCCGAGACCTGTTCCGCATAATGTCCCTCAATTTAGATTGACTGATGGTTTCCTCCTGATCAGATTCAGACTACACCTTATTGCCATGAGCATCAGGTGACGTACCCTTTTCAGTACATCACACCAGTGGCACACATCAATTTGACCCGTTACTGGGGTTGCTAAGTGGGAATTTGGTTTAAGCAAAGACCAAATCCCTCCACTGTCCTGACACCTTTCTCCTTTGAAATTAATAAATATCTTCTGGGGGGATATTGTACTTTGGTCTCCAAGAATCTTTCATTCAATGGTTTTACCACCTAATGATTATCAGTGCCTGAGTTGGTTATTATTATGGTGGTTAGTAAATATATTAGTTGGCATTCTATAGTGTTTTCCCTTCTCCCCACCTTACCTCCACCATTTCAATTTTAATTTTAATTTTAATTTTTTGGTATCAATATGGATTCAATGGATCCTTTAATAAGCATTATTTTAAAGCACAGATTATGTATCATGGAAATCCCTATCTTGAGGAAAGTTAACACCAAATCATGGTCTAGAAGTTTAGTAGAAGAGGATCATTAAATTGAAGAACTCCAGTTTTGGTTCATCTGCCATTCACTTTATGAAAAGCCAGAATGTGGCCCTTCTCTCTTACAATTACAAATAAAGCTACTGAGGCAGGTTTCCTTGACAAGCTGCTCCTCAAGTCTTCCCCAAAGGGTCTCTCCGAAGTGCCCTCCCCTGAGCTGACCGGCATTTTCGGCCAGAAGACCTGAGGGTCCGCACTACAGCGCCACTCCCCTCGAGACCATGTGAACTCATGGTAGCGATGCATGGCCTCCCCCGTTACTCCTGTCTGATCTCTTCCCCCTTCTTAGCAATCAAAACACACCATGAAAATAAGTATTTTCACATGTGAAAAGGTTAGTAACTCTTGTTCCAGAAGAACGTTCTTCAATGACTTCCCTCTAAGATAAATGTTATCTAAAAATAACTTTCTTTATTAATATTTAAAATATCCAAAAACTGCTAGAGAAGCACTGAAAATTGAAGTGACAAATTCAGCTCTGTTATAATTTATTCTCAAAGGTTCTTAAATGAATCTTTGAAATATTACCAAACTGGAGAGGTAAAGAGTTTGGGGTCCATGTTAAAGGGACTTATTTAAGAAAAAGAAGATGATCAAAACTATGAACAATAAATGGCAATAAATACATAACTACCAACAATTGTCTCTAAGAAACAATCTAAGAAACAAACTAAGCACACAAAAAAATCAGAGACAGATTCATGGATACGGAGTATTTTCATGGTTGCCAGATGGGAGGGGGTTGTGAGGGAACGGGTGAAGAGGTGAGGGGATTAAGTACAAATGGCTAGTCAGAGAATAGTCTTGGGGATGTAAAGTACAGTGTAGGAAATGGAGTAGCCAAAGAACTTACATGCATGACCCATGGGCATGAACTAATACGTGGGGGATGCCTGAGGAAGTGGGGGGTGCTGGGTGGAGGGGGGTAAGGGGGAAAAATTGGGACAACTATAACAGCATAATCAATAAAATATAATTTAAAAAAAGAAAATGAGGGAAAGACACAGACAAAAGAGTAAGAAAGTGGAGAACAAGAGAGAAAAAGAAAAACCAAAGAGGAGGCAGGTGTTAAGGGCAGGTGACAGACAGAGAAAGCGAGAGACCCAAATGAATGAAAACAGAGAGAATAAATAAAAGAGTTTGATAGAGAAGACAAGGACTGAAGGTTCAACACTATCAAAATTTCACACTGAGATGCTAAGAAATACACTTTGCAAATAGATATGCAATGTGTAGGGGGGGCTCTGTTACTAAAACACAGAAAGACATAAAGATGATATCATAAGACCTTATATCAAGATCTTTTAGGATACTGTTGCAAAAAGTATGCATGTCACAGGGTAAAAATGGCACTATCTTCTGTTTGTTCTTTCCTCAAGAATTGGTTTGCAGGTAGATGCTCTTGACATACAGCTGGCCGTGGCCACAAATCACCAGATACAGTTCTGGGTGAAAACACCACCAGGGAGGAACATCAGAGAATTACACCCATTACTTAGGGCCAATCTCTCTGAGCTCAATGTATACCATCCGAGTAATCAATCACAGCAGTAGGGTCAGTTGTAACCATTAAAAATACTTTTGAATATTTGGAAACTGAAGTCAAGAATACAATTTTCATAGTATGTACCATTCATGTACAAAAAAAATATGCAAGATACTTACATCTCTAATAAAATGTTCAAGGGTAGCATAAGCAATGGCAATTCCATCGTGGGTGCTCGTCCCTCTTCCCAACTCATCCATGATAACCAAGGACTGTGGTGTTGCTTTTCTTATTATTTCTGCTGTGTCGGTCAGTTCCTCCATAAATGTACTCTGTCCTTTATATATATTATCTGCAGCACCCATCCTACAAATAAGATGAAGGCAGATTTTCCTCTGAACTTTATTATTAGGAAACTAGGAGTTATTTTCTGAATAATAAATATAAAGAGCTTAGGGTTCTATACACCTTGAGTCAATAAGAGCGGAAATTACATAAAACTAAAAAAAAGACATATAGAGAACCGATCTGCCTGGCATTGGCAAATGTAGCCCAGCCCTATTGGAAAGCCCATAGGCGTGTGGCAGCACACAGGACGCGAAACCCACAGATCGGCTCTCCTGGGGAGACCAGGCCCGCACCATACTTTGGCTGCTTTGAGACTTGCTCTTGCCAAAACTCCCTCACCCTGAGTTGGGAGAAAATGCTTACTGCATATCTTTAAAGTAACTTCCTGAAGTCTGTGCTAATTCTCCCAAGGACTGAAGTGTAACCAGACCAATTACTCTTATTGTTCCCTTGCATTTGCAATATTTTCTTCCTTGTTAATCTGTAGGAAGTAATCGGTAACATCCTTTGCTTTGCAATCTGTAAAAAGTAATTACCTAAAGCAAACCTGAGCATAATGAATGAGAACCTTCTTTGATATATGCTATTAGAAAGCCAATAAAAGCCTGCCAAGGCAAGGGTTGAGGCGCTCTCCCCTTCAGAGAATGGCCACGTTGCCCCTTTTCCTCCACAGGGCTTCAGTAATCTGTGTAAAGTTGTCTCGTCTCATCCACAGTGCCATGGACACTGCTGGCCAGAGTCCGCATCAAAACATATATTGGATATAAAGAGTGCCTACCATCAAATTTCACCTTTTAGAAACAGTCTGGATAGAAGAATCTGAGTACTAGATAGGGCTCCTGAAAAGAAGAGATGCTTCTGACTCTGCCTTTCTTTGACCATTCATTTCAAACCCAAGTTTTGGTACTTACAGGGGAAAACAGTGCCTCGCTACACCATTGAGTTTAAAATCAACAAGTAGTAGAATATTGAACAAGTAAAGGTGTTTTCCAATATTTCCTTAACTGATATTATGAATTAAAGTGCCATGTTGAAATAAGATAAACTTTTTTACCAAAACTAGAACTATAGAGATTTTGTAACTCCAGATGCCTAAAGTTGACAGGATCCTAAGGCTGACTTTGTGTTACGCAGTTCTTGGGGAGGTCAACAAAGGGGTCAAAAAGATGCCGGGATTTCTTTCCTGTAAGACGTCTTAGAGCCTTTAACATCGCATTTCTCTAACATTTAACCATCAACCCCTACAACTTCTCCTGAAGCAGCACCTTGTGATGATAGAACACATTGGGTCTATAGAACACATTTGGAAAAACATCTGTTTGGTGCAAAAAGAACCTGAAAAAAAGAAGAAGAACTAGGTAACACTCACTCAAGGTCATGCAGTTAATAGAAAAACCTAGAATTCAGATTCTCAACATGCTAGCTGCCTTTATGGATTCTGGTAGCTATTTTCTCAGCTAAGAACCTTTATCAATGAAGTGTTGCTATAATAGTTCACATGTGACCCTACAGAAGCATAATGTGCCTTTTATTTCTGGGGAGAAAGAGGCTTAACCATCCTGTGGCTGGAGCCCTGCACAGGGCAGGGGAGAGGAAGTGCAAGGACCCCACAGATGGTGGAGCCTGAGGAGAACCATTCTGGTCATCAGCGTCATTTACAGCCTGTAATTAACTATAGCGGCTGTGGCGGAGGTGATACGGTTTAACCAACACTGCTGTCAACTTCATCCATTGTAAAATCAATAACTGCACAACATAATTCATGAAATGTTGCTAGCCTAGAAGCCTTCTGGCTACATTTTCAAAGTTCAAATACTGTTATTTACACCTGAATTTTCGATGTTCACTAGTATTTCCCCTACCACAAAGTGAGAGGGGTAAACTTTCCCATCTCTGCAAACCACTCTGAGTTCTTCAGAATCATGTTTGACCCTCACTTAATACTGACTGGTTTTATTCTTGACAGGTTGTGACTTGGGAAAAAGAACAAATCTTTGGCTGATAATAAGAGCCCTGGCAGGCAAATATTTGGAGGGGTTGTCTATGATCCTCAAGAATTAGAATAACAAGCAAACACTGGGTAAGATTTCAATGCAATAGTTTTAGTACTAAACTATTACTAGAAATCCTACAGTAAGAGAGTGGTCTGTCTCATTGGCCATTTCTGCAATTGGAGAATCCTCTTGAGAGACGTTCAAAGGTGAGACTTCAAATCAGGGAGAAAGGATGAATGATGACTCAATAAAAAAGATGTTAGCTAATTGGTTATTTTAGGAAAAAAGAAAGATGTGGCCCTACTGAAATCACATTCCAAAATAAATTTACGTTAACTTAAAAGTTTCGTGTAAACACAGAAACCATAAACATACCAAGCACTATAGATGAAATTTCATCTCTAGACAGGTGGGGGGTGTCTCGCGCATATGGTGCCAAAACATGTGACAGCCACTCCCCACGACCCCACAGCACCTCGTGCTGTTACAGGGTTTCTGTGCCTGAGGAGGCCAGGCCAAATTTCAGAGGGTCTTATTAAGCAATGGTCCCAATTCTACGGTTAGGCCAGTGGTTTTAGAATACCTTTTTAACTACTAAATTCTTTGTTCAAATGAAATTTTGCAAAGAAATTCATTCTGCAGATGAGATCAAAGAAAAGCTGATTTAGTTTAAAAAAAACAGCACTATTAGGCCCTTTTCCCCATCCCAAGGGGACTCTTAAAACCCTGTAGAACAGTTTGCATTTGGAGCCAACACATTTTCTATTACAATTCTATTTTCCATAGCACCTGATGATAAAGGAGAAATGCTGCCCAGGAGATGCTGAAGAAATACTGGCTCATTATCCAGTCCCCAAGGCCACTTGGGAGGCATGTGTTTATAACTGGTAGAACTGATAAAAATATTTTCAGTTAACTTCTTTTAAGAAACATTTAGCACGTTTACGTTTCCAATAAATTTCAGTAATGTAATAACTTAATAATGACTCTGATGGACACAGATTTTATCACTGAACACATTTTCCTTTTCATTTTTTTAAATTATATTTTATTAATTATGCTATTGCAGTTGTCCTGGTTTTTCCCCTTTGCCCCCCTCCACCCAGCACCTCCTACTCTGTCAGGCAATCCCCACACCACTGTTCATGTCCACGGGTCATGTGTGTAAGTTCCCTGGCTACTCCATTTCCTATACTGTACTTTACATCCCCATGGCTATTCTGTAACTACCAATTCATACTTCTTAATGCCCTCAAATCTTCACCATTCTCTCTCTTCCCTCTCCCATCTGGCAACCATCAAAGTGCTCTCCATATCCATGAATCTGTCTCTGTTCTTGTTTAATTAGTTTGCTTTTTAGATTCAATTGTTGACAGGAATGTATTTATTACCATTTTTATTGTTCATAGCTTTGATCTTCCTTTCTTAATAAGTCCCTTTAACATTTCATATAATACTGGTTTAGTGATGATGAACTCCTTTGTCTTCTTCTTCTCTGGGAAGCTCTTATCTGCTCTTCCATTCTAAATGATGTACTTGCTAGGTAGGCAATCTTGACTGTGGGTCCCTGCTTTTCATGACTTGAAAAACTACCTGCCAGTCTTTTCTAGCCTGCAAAGTTTCTTTTGAGAAATCAGCTGACAGTCTTATGTGAACTCCTTTGTGATGATTATCTGTTTTTCTCTTGCTGCTTTTAAGATTCTCTCTTTATCTTTAACATTTGGTGTTTTAATTATAAAGTGTCTTGGAGTGGGCCTCTTTGCATCCATCTTGTTTGGGATTCTCTGTGCTTCCTGGACATGCATATCTATTTCCTTCACTAAATTAGGCAAGTTTTCTTTAATTATTTTTCAAATAAATTTCCAATTTCTTGCTCTTTCTCTTCTCCTTCTGGCACCCTTATGATGCAAATATTTGAATGCTTGAAGTTGTCCCAGAGGCTGCTTATACTAACCTCATTTGGGGTGTTGGGGGAGGCTGTGCCACTGGACCCTACAGGACACCTACTACATTAGACCATGATACCAAGACAGGAAGTCATAGCAACTCTGTCTAATACACAGAAACAAACACAGGGAGGCTGCCAAAATGAGGAGACAAAGAAACATGGCCTAAATGAAAGAACAAATCAAAACTCCAGAAAAAGAACTAAATAAAATGAAGATAAGCGATCTATCAGATGCAGAGTTCGAAACACTGGTTATAAGGATGCTCAAGGAATTTAGTGAGGACCTCAACAGTATAAAAAAGACATAGTCAGAAACAAAGGATACACTAATTAAAATAAAGACCAATTTACAAGAAAACAACAGTAGAGTGAGTAAACCCAAGAATCAATCAGTGATTTGAAACATAAGGAAGCAAAAAACAACTAATCAGAAGAAGAAAAAAGAATCCTTTTCATCTCTGTTACTAGGACACAACTATATAACATTTTGTAATACCATTAGCAACCTTGACTTTTTCTTATGTTTCTATCCTTATTTCTCTTTGACCCAACATCTCTGAACACCATATTACTCTTTCGGTATCTTGCTCTATTGTATACACCCCAGAAAACTGCCTAAAATAAGTTTTTGGAGCAAGGTAGGATATAAATTAATTAACATTAATTAGAGTTTGTAATTTTTTATTAACTCAACAAATGTTTACAAGACATAATACTGAATACTGAGTCTGTCATTTTTCAAATGTTAAAGTATGTTAGAGATTTAAAGAATTCCAGAACATATGTCATTATTAGCATTCTGTCTTGCATTTATATTCAAATATAATGAAAACTGCATTCTTTAGGTTTCATCTAGAGTTAGTTTGCTCTGGGTAGACAGGTCAGTTATGTGATTAAGAAAAAAAATCACTGATATTTTTAGGAGTGGCGGCTGACTAATCTTTCTAATCCCTCTATTCCTTCCTTGCCTATAACCTTATATAGGTCAACAAAGCTTAATAAAGCATTAATGGAGGAAATAAATTATTTTTTTGAATTAGTTTTCTAAATTGAAGATTATTTTCATGAAAAATTGA